CCTACTCAGCACTGGGAGGTATAGGCATGCTCTATTGTATACATACCTACAGACATACTGTGTGTGTGTGTGTGTGTGTATGTGTGTATGTGCGCGCACGTGCGTCCACATGTGTGGTATATGTGTATGCAATAAGTGTGTACGTGCATGTGTGTGGCATATGTGTGCACATGTGTGCACATGTGTGTATATAAGCATTTCTGTGCACATACGGATGCATTTTCATGGGTGGTGCATGTAATGTATGTACTTGTGTGGTCTGTGCTTGTGTTTGGAGGTATGTGCTGCATGCATGTAGTGTGTGTATGTGTGTGTGGTATGTGCATAGTATGTGTGTGTATATAGGGCATAGGCCCGACTGAAGCCACAAGCTGTTCCATGCTTGGGATATTTATAGATCCTACTTGTCAGAAGCAAGGGCGCACTGCCCCACTGCTCATGTTCGTGTTGCTCCTAGATCGACAAGACTGTGAGCACAAAGCCTTCCAGTTCTGCTGCCACCATCTTCATCACGCCTTCTCCACCAAGATTTGGTTCAAACTCTGAACCAAATAAATCCTTCCTCCCTTGGGCTACTTCATGGTGAGTCTACTCGCTGGATGAGAAGCAGCTTATACAGGCAGAATAGTGGGCAGCACAGCGGACTGCAAACGGCTTTAATGTGGGTGGTCAGAGCAGCCTCAGAAAGTCCATAGCATCCGCAATCTCAGTTTGTTGTTAAGTAAAGAAAATGGAATCTACTAGGAGTAGTTGTCTTTGGGATTTAAGTTTATAATTTACAGGATGTATATTTGGGTATGTATTTTCCTAGCATCAACAGATCACTATTTGCTCCCAGCATCTGGGGGAATCTTAGAGATCCTCTAACAAATACAAACTGACGATTTAAGGTCTAGGGAGATGGTTCAGTAGTTAAGAGCACTGGCTGCTCTTGCAGCAACCCTGGGTCTGACTCCCAGCACCCACAGGGCAGTTACAGAAGTCCGTGACTGAAATTGGAGGGGATCTGAAGCTCTCCTCTGGTCTCCATTCACAGCACTTGAGAAGTGCCCATTGGAGTCTGTTCCCTCTGTGCTCCGAGGAGCTCTGGATAAGTTCGGATTCTGTAGAACTTATCTCTCTCTCTCTCTCTTTTTTTAATTCCTTTTTTTTTTTTTTTTTTTTTTTGAAAATGATGATCACACTGTGTTGCCCAGACTGTTGAATTCTATTTTATTTTCCTTTAAAACACTGAATCTGGCAATTCAAGAAGACCACACTGCTATTGCCATTTCCGCTCTTTCTGCTGACCCTGCCATGCTCCCTCCCCTGCTAAAACCTAAAGATGAACTATTTTTTCTGACTAATACCCACATTGTACTTAAGAAACCCAATTCTGTTGCTCCCAACTAAAAAGTAAATAAAATCCAGGACCCGATAGTCTCACCTATTTCTGCCTTCAAAAAGCAGGATAATTTGATTTTACTTAACAATAATCCCACAATGACTTAAATTTCCACTGGGCCTAGCATTTCCCCAGGAAAGCCACAGTTATTATTTCCGTTAACATTAGAATGAAGCTATACCTTCTTTTAAAAAATGGATAGTGTATAAAATATCATGAGTCCAATATTGATGAAAAGTAATTTTAAGATCCAGACATCCTTGAAAATTTAAGTAAGCTCTCCCTTCCTTGGAACTGTGTAAGGAAGTGGGAACCACCCTTTATACAGTATTATGGCAGCTGTCTGGCATCTTGTGAGGTCTGATCTGGTTCATCTGGCACCAGTCATGTTGATATGAACATGTCAAAGTTAAGGAAAGTGGAAGAAACCCAGGAGCATCTATCTAAAGGGTGTGGAGAAATTCAAGGTCAGAGCTAATGCACAGCATTGGTGATGGGAGCCCCAAGACAACAAAGGCACAGGGTCCCACAAGGCCTTGCCTGCCAAAGCACATTGTGCGGAGTGCTCTGTGGTGGAAAAGTCCAGCTGAAATAACCAACAGAGTCACCAATTTCCATGCATGGAATAGGACTGGTAAGCCTAATGGACCAAGATCCATATCTAGAGTGTAGGATGTCCCTTGACCTACACACATGCTCCATAACACAAACAACACACACACAAACACACACTACAAACACACTAAGATAGAAATGAATTTACAATAGATGATTCATAAACACATTTTTATATTTAAATAAAACTACAAAAAATAAAAAGAAAAGACAGAAGTATCCTGTTCTCACAATGCTTTGTAAATGTTAAATATAATATGTGCATTAGCTGTCCGGATTCCTGAAATATTTTTATCTAAGTTGGACTCAATCATGAGCTTTAAGATGATGAAAACAGCAGCAGGATTAAATTACATGCAGGGCTCTAATTTGGTAAGTATAAAACGATGGAAGGACAGGCTACGATACTGGTGTTTTCTAAAACAGATACCTTCTTTACTGCTGTAAATTCTGTGTGACTTTATTTTGCATCTTCAGTTTTGTTTGCTTGAAATTTCACACAGGAAATTTCACACAGGACATAAATACACTTAAGAAAAAAAAATTTGCTGGAAATAAAGGCAGTACCAACACTGAGCAAATATAAACAAATATGGTAAGCACACCTACACAGAATCAGCACAGGCTATTTTTAGCCAAAACCCCAAAACCACCATGGCATTTTTATGGCTTGTGACTGAAGAGGACCTTTCAAACCAGTGTCCCCAATTTGAACAGTAAGTCACTTCAGGGTTGATAAAAGATGATAATATAATGTAATACCAATATGTCAGCATCATAAAACTTAGAAACTTCATCAAACTGTCTTTTCCTGATAATACATTCATAAACATTTCACTTTCTTAAAGATGGAGTACAGTTATTTACATGTATTTATTTTCTCATTTGTATTGCCTGTGAATATCATTCCTACATTACCTTTGTATGCTTCTATACAGATGACATTTCAGATTATAAAGTTCCTCAAGCTAGGAATTATAATTTTTTATGATTACATATGGACTCAATATGTTCCCCAAAGCAACAAAAAAGTGAAGATAAAGCCCAAGCAACAAGACACACAATACTTGAGAGACCAAATTAGCAACCAACTGTTCAAAAGATAAATGATATGACCAAAAATCACCATGGAAGCTACCAGTAGAAAGCCATGAAGAAACATGCTTTACACAAAACATAGAGATTTCCAAGTACTGGGGAAGGGCCTTGTAAACAACTGAAGGCTGCTATCCTGACGCCACAAACTGAGGAACTGTGGGTAAATTCCTGGTGGATTTCTTAGAAAAACAGTTTAATATCTGTTTACCAAAATAAGAATGTTCTTAATTCTTACTTCTTCACACATATTTAAATTTGTGGTTACTATTGAAAATACTATGTATATATAAACTTAAATGGAACAACTTTTTAAGCACAGATTTAGCACTAAAGTAACATTTACTAAACCATTAAATTTTTGCAATTACATACAGGATGTAAGGCTCATTTATTGATAATAGCAAATACTAGTGCGCTAGTAACAAGCACTGTGTTACAGGCCTTGTAGAAATCTCTATCTACTTTCTAACATATTAGCTGTAGCATCGCCTACCTGTGAGTATGGAATTGGGTCTATAGACCTCGAGAACTGACCACTGAACTGTCACAGTGCAGTCGGGGTTCTGTGGGGCACTGTTAATTATCACTGACATCCCTCATACATATGAAGAGTTTGTTCTTTCTAATAGTTCTAAGCCAGTGGCTGTAAGCCACAGCTTCGCAACAAGGGCATGGAGGGAGAACTTGGTAGGTGAATAGTCACAGAGGGCCCCTAAGCACCTACCCTGAAAGAGGTCAAGTCTTCTCTCAGGAGAATGCATCACAGATGTCCAACTAACTATACAGAGCAGCCCTTATCAGCCAGCATCATTACCATTTCTTTCTCTGCCCGCCACACCACTCTCCGTCTAGTTCTCATTGTGCCCAATAACACAAAGTTATTAAAACACACAACATTTCTAGGAAATCATAGCAAGGGTGGCTATATTTCCAATCTAACCTAATACTTCTTGTATTCAGTCATAAATGAGCTTCACCTGGTTTACTGTTCTAGGTCTTTTTAGCAGTTACGATGCATTTCTGGATGATTAGACATCCTTTGAAATCTTCATTTATTTCTCCTCTCATGATTCATCTTAAAACATCACTGTTTTGTTAACATTTTTGTCTAGGAGCCAGTCTGAAATATTTACCCACATGGAACTTCCTACCATACTGGGCTCGGGGGAATCCTTCTTCCGAGACCTCTGGGGACACTTAAACTACAAGTCAATGCCACCAAGACCAACTGAAAGAAGTTTTATAAAAATAGATGAACAACCATTTGTCTTGTTTACCAATGAAACTGTATTGTGCAAAGAACACAAATTTTGGTTTTTAAAAATACTAGGTGAATGGCGAACTTCATCTGAGAGATTCAGGGAGGGAGCAGAACCTCTCAGAAACAAAGGTCTGTGTTGCCATGGAATTTTCAACCAGGTATTGTGACATCCCAACAGCTCAAGGAGTAGTAGTGCGGGACCTCTGGCTGCTTTTCCAGCAAGGATCCCATCCTGGGATAATTGTTCACTTGTGTCTTTCACCCTACAAGACCTACGACCAGGGAGTGAGAAAAACAGAGACGCCATCGTGCTAACTTTCCTGAAGCTGTTGGAGTAAGAGAACTACAACTCCCACTGGTCCTGTAGCTGTGTTGTTTTTTACAGCTGCGCAGTGGCTAGAAGCAAAGTTACACATTCTTCAGCATCCTTGGGCCCTCATTACCTTTTGTGGCAACTCTGCACAAACTAACCTATTTCACCTTCTTTAGAAGGAATTGTGAGCACTTGGAGGGTTTTAGCTGGACAAATGCATCCAAAAATAGCAGTAAGCTAAGTCACGAGTCTCCACGGGTTTAAAAGTACTTGGCTCTGGAATCTAGGTGGCGTACATACAACAACCAAGACACTTGGTCACAGAGTGACCAGAGGAATATAAAGCATTGGAGGGTAAGCCTGTTCTCTTGACTATAGCTTGCCAAAGCAGACTTAACCATAATGAAAGAACAGTGGAAACCATGAGGGGGAAAGACACAGGCAGAACAGACACAACACAGAGCATGGAGGGACGAAAACGGCACTGTTGTGTATCCGAGAAAGAGAGGAAACAGACGGAAAGGCAAGCACACCGCACCAGCCAGGCCAGAGAGTTTAAGAGCAAAATGTGTAGGTTTTTCCCCAGTGAACGGCTCCCGAGAATTGTGCACGATGCCCAGACAGCACAAAGAAGACAGCAGGTCAAAAAGAGGGAGCAGGCGCAGATCAAAGAACACCAGGAGCGCATGCTTCGAGGCAGGGAATTGATAGAACAAAGACTCAAGGAAAGACTCTCGAGAAGAACCCAGGGCCAGCTCCCATCACTAGAGAAGCTCGAGAGAATGAAGAAGGAGATGAAGGACTTTGAGAGGGCTAACATACACCCGCTTTTGGAGCTGCGCAGAAAAAGTCTCATTAAGTTGGAAAGTCTTATCGAAAAGTCTCAGGTGCGAGAGGAAGCGAAAACTGTAAAGCCTCACCAAAGGAAAAGTCTGGCCTTACCACCCTTTTTGAAAAGTCATGTACGAAAAAGCAAAGATCAGTAAAATGTCAGTACTTTTTTCTGAGAAAAAAGTACTGGGAATTAATAAAGACTTTTAGAAGTACTGTGTCATTTGGAAATTATAAAATAGTAACTGACACCCCAACTTCCTTATGAAAGAGCTAGAAGGGATGCGATGGCTCAGTGGTTAAGAGCACTGGCTGCTCTTGCAGAGGACCCAGGTTTAGTTCCCAGCACCCACATGGCAGCTGACAACCATTTGTGACTCCAGTTGCAAGGGACCTGACACTCTGCTCTGGCCTCCACAGACACCAAGTATTAGTGGAGGGACATGTATGCAGGCAAACACTCATACACATAAAATATCTTTAAAAAAAAGAGTTTAAAATTAACTTTATTCTCCATACTGCTTTTCTTTTAAGAAAGATTCTTAAAACACGAAACACAAACCATTCTTAAAGTCTCCTACATGTTGAAATTATGTATTGTAGTTGCATAGAATAACAAAAACCAAACAGTCAAGGAAAATGACTACCTATACAAGAGGATTCAGGGAGAGAAAATTTAAAGTATAAAATCCAAATTCACTAAATGCTTTAAGAACAAAGAAGAGGCCAAAAGAAATGTATTCTCCTCTGTCATTTTCATAAATTACAGGTTAGCATGAAAAATTCAGAATCTGAAGTTGGAAACAAATCCTATGAAATAGTCTTTAAACTGTAAATAATGTGATTTTAATATGAATACATTTCAGATTCATTTCGACTAATCAAACATGATAAAGATCTCATTAAGACAAACTCTCAAAAAGCAAGCCTCACAAAAGTACATGAGCCAATCATATTCATTTGGCCTATTTTACAAAGGAAGCAGGGATGGTGGGCGAGGGTAAGTAGAAGGGCGGTGGCTATTTGTCAAAAGAGGCAACTATTTGGTACCGTTCCCCAGGCAAAAGACCACCCAAAGATATGTTCTCTGGTGAAAGCTGAGGCAATCAAAGCAGAGTCACAGCACCAACACAAACAATTCTCTTTCCAGAAGAATTTATTTACAAAATAAACCAAAAATCGTACTTGGAGACCCCTTTCTACAGCTGAATATCACAACGATTTTACTTTGATTAGAAAACCATTAAGTAGCAACCCTTTGCCTCTCTGTGGTTCCACAGAGGGAACACAAATGGCCACTTTTTAAATTGTAGGGAATTGGAAATCTTTTCTACAGAAAGTACCACAGGACAAATTTAAACTTCCTAACAGACCTCCCTTGTGGCAGCAGGGCCGAGAATTTCCCACATCATGTGGCCCTTCGGCCTCACTTCCTTACTACTGCTCTGTACTGGTAAAGTTCTAGAATTTTTCATCAAAGAACAGGTTTTGTTTTAAAGAACTTAACCACTTACATGAAACAAATGAAATAGATTTCTCATTGGGGAACCTAGTTTTAATATATATTGAAAAATCTGTAAGTGATGGTATAATATGAAGAATTCCTCAAAATGGGACAAGACAATTTTTTAAAAAAAAAATAGACTTAAAAACTGCATGTTTTTAGTCTGGCACAGCTTAGGATATGACATTTTAAATATTGAATAGCTAAGTGAAAATTTTTAATTTTGGCCAAAGACATCAAGTAAATTTAATACAAAGTTTCTTGAAACAAAACACTACCTTCAAGTCTGACCATTAATTTTCAGGAGTACTTTTATATAGTTAATCTCTAAAAACAATCTTTTCTGCTAAAACATGTGAAGGAAAAAACTACATAAGGGTTTCTAGTCTTTCTCTCATTTGGACCACTGTATTGATTTGGGAGTAGCTATTCAAGAAAGAATAAAAACAGATCTTAAAAATTTAGGCAGTAAATTAAGATTAAAAAACAACAACAACAACAACAACAGTATTCCAAGAGAAGATAAACTCTTTCTGACCAGCTGATAAAGGACAGACAGGAAAATAGCCAAACAACTCTTACAACTCAATGAGAATAACTTACTAACTAGAAGTCATAGAGCTTCATTAGAAGAGACACATATGAATGAAGTCTTTTGTGGCAGTGACCTCTGGTCCCAGCACTTAGGACCTTTAATCCCAGCAGAAGCAGACAGACACCTATGGATTGAAAAGGAAATCTAGTCTGTTTAGTTCTGGGCTAGCCAGGGCTACATAGTAAGGCTGACTCAAAAAAGAAAAAAGAAAGAAAAAGAAAAAGATGCACAGATGGCAAATACATACATGAAAATAAGGTCAGCAAATGCTATTAGGGATGTGAGGATGAAAATAAGTTACTATTTACTATACTGACACACAAGACGACAAAATCTTGCCTTTTATAGCAACTTGGGTGGAAATGAGGACCCGGAGTGAAATAAGCAGCCAGGCGGGGAAAAGACAGTTACTGCATATTGCCACAGAATATAAGCAGGGTTAGCTCAGAGAACAAACGAACAGAGAGGGGAGAAAGCAGAGGGCAAAAAGGAGAGGTGAATGCAGGGGTGCAAACCTTGGCCAGACAGGATGACTCTTGTGTTTAACGCACTATGGGTACTTATAGTTAACATTAGCTTATAGTGTTACTCAATCCAATATAGCTAGCCCATTTTAAATGTTTTCTTCAGAAGCAAGTTTTAAAAGATGGACACAGAGAAGATCAATATACAAAGTACTAATGCACACAACATGAGGCTGTGATGCAGAAGTGATTATCAATAAGCCTTATGCTTGCTATGCATTTGAAAGAAAGTTAAGTGGACTGTTACTTTACAATACAGCAGTCAAATTTCTTGGCATTTACTACAAGAAGTATAAAGCTTAAAAGTACCACACAAATGTATCCACATGCCAATACAAAGGGAGCATTTTCTTAATTGGCATTCCCTCCTCCCACATGAAAGCAGATTGTGTCAAGTTGACTAACAAGCCAGTGCACACGGAGCTATGCTCAACTATAACTAAAACTATAAGACTCTGGAAAGGCAAAGGTGTGTAGAAATTAAACACTGACTGTTAAGAATTCACAGGGGAAGAAAGTGGTCTAAGTGGAGCTCAGATATTACTAAAGCAATCAGACTATCTGTACTATACGCTCATCAAGGACACATCACTGTAGACATCTGTCCAAGCCCACAGAATGTGAACTGGAGTCCAACTCCTAATGCAAACTGTGGCTTGAAATAATGATGATAAATACTGGCTTCCCAACTATGACACTGGAGGAGGGGACAAGTAGCAATGGAGGATGAAGTACAGGGGAAGAGTTTTTCTGCAACATAAAACTGTACTAATAGCTCAAGTCTATAAAAGCAAAAAAAAAATGAAGGTATTTTGGTAATGAAAACACTATCTACATTCAAATTTTATAACAAAAGTTTTACCAAAGCACAGATTCTGTTAAGACCAATTTAAAACTATGTATGCCACTGACCCTAGCGGAAGCAGAACACTCCTGTAGCATGCATGCCCAGTGCCCATGATTTCACAGAACAATAGAATTATCAAATTACTGAGCTTCTGAAATGATGTTCTCAGATTTGATAGCTGCATGTCTTTAATATACATTTTTGAACTTCTTTCATATTCACTAATTCTCCCAAGAAAAATGATATCAAAAGATCTGAGGTGTCCAAAAGAGCAACAGAAAACAAACAAACAAAAATGGCTAAAAGTGTTCACTGTCACTGGTGGCACAAAGCCAGCCCTGATTCCCAGGCTCAGTGCTCCTCTCCACCAAAGCCTTTCCATTTCCTGGAATAGATTTTTCTCATGTCTTTTGCAGCCACCAAGTAGATGCTTTTTACTCTGGTTACAGGAGAGGCTCAGGTTCTGAGTCTGGCATTATAGATCCTGTTTATGATACTGACTTTGTGGGGAGGAAAAAATCAACTTATCTAAGGGGGAGATGACACTCCCATTACATTCTGATTTCTCCAAACAAAACTATGGAAAAACTATGACTCTGTGAGTAGTGCTTTAAAATGAGAATAGTTGGCCAACAGAAACCTGGGTCTCTCTCTCTCTCTCTCTCTATCTATCTCTCTCTCTCTCTCTCTCTCTCTCTCTCTCACACACACACACACACACACACGAGCACAAGGAGCTGGAGAGGAGGTACAGTAGTTAAGAACACTTACTGCTCTTCCACAAGACCTGAGTGCAGTTCCCAGCACCCACACTGGGCTGTTCACAACCTCATGTAACTCCAGCTCCATGAAGATGCAATGTCTCTGACCTCTGTATGTGCGTGCACACATACACACACTTTGAAAAATATTTTTTATTTTTTTAATGTGAGGAGAAAGTTTAAGTCTTCATAAGGGGCATGGTTAGGATAATTAAGGATTTGTTCTGTTTTAAATTTATTTGATTATTTAAATAAAGTGTCCTTAATCAAGAGTTCTGAAAAAAAAAAATGCTTCTGAGTTTTAAAAGAGTTCTAACATGAGGAAAGTACAATTCTGCCAATATTTTTCTGATGTGGTCAAATGGATAGTCCCAGGAATGACGGGTACAAAGAACTGAACAACTGAGATTACAGCCCATGTCATCAAGCTCAGGTGGCCATCTTCTGCACAGAAGTAAACTACTATATATGCCATCAACCAAAAATAAAACTGCAATGCCTAGAACACGAAACTAACCAGCCTGACTTCAGCAATGCTCAAGTTTTAAGAAAGCACAACCCCCACAGCTAGCTGCATTACAGGCAAAGTTTCTGTATGTCCAGGCCAACTTCTCAAAACTCTGAGATTATTTACTCTAAAACCTGACAAACAAAAACTATGATGATAGTTGTGTAGAACCTTTAGTGATTTTATTTTCAAACTCAGCAGTTGAAATTCATTAAGGGACCATCACCATCACTTACTTTCAAAAGGAAGGATAGGGTTAGAGATGTAGTTCAATGGTAGATTGCTTCCCTATCAGATGGGAGGCCTTAGGCTAGACTGTAGGAAAATGGGGAGAAGGGAGTGCAAAGGTGTATGGGTAAGGTAGAAAGGAAAAGAGAAGAAAGGCATCAGGAAACGGGACAGGGAATGCAAAATCA